TGTGTGTGTGTGTGTGTGTGTGTGTGTGTGTGTGTGTGTTCACGATTATACAGCACTGTATGCTTGCTTACGTTGAAGAGTCATGCAGGTTTGAACATGCGTTTACAGTAAGCCTTAACTAAAAGCCAACCCAAAACTACGTGCATTAAATAGGTGCTTTAAATAGATTATTGAATATAGCAAAAATGATGTTGATGAGCTATACTGAGCTATTTGTGACTCTGCATGAGTATGTTATTACCTTGACTAGTAGAGTTTAACCCCACATGTGAACTCATGTCATCTGTTCAGTCCCATGTGGCTCAAAAATGTTCAGCTGCTTCTTTGCAGTGACAGTTAATGACTTTTTTACCAGAAGCTACCATAAAAGTAATTCATCATGAGACCATTTTCGCTTTCGGATGAACTGCTTGCTGTGTAAGATTGAAGAGTGATTCACTTTGAGACTCTGAAGGCAACTTCTGTCTAAATGCATTTCTCTGGCTCTTGACATGAGACAAAACAGCTGTCTGTAGTTTTTAAAACGAGAGTATATTAATTTTGACCCTGATTAGAGATTATGGCAGCAGTATTTTGTAATGCAATACCATTTCATTCAATTTCTCTTTATTTTAAAAACATTATGAATCTTAAATAATATTAACAGGTACAACTTTTGTCATTTATTAGTAAATATGAAAAACTGACATTAACAAAAATGAATACATATTTTAATAGTATTATTTGTAGTTACCTGATTTTAACAAATGAATCCTTATTGTAAAGTGTTACCAAACATTTCTACTATATTCTCGCAAAATGAAGAGGTTAAACTAAAATATTCCTCTTTTATGACGTTTTCACCACTGCATCACTAGTTTTTGTTAATGCCGTCAGATATTTATGAAAACTAAGTTACACGATTTATTAAAAATCCTCATTTTAAATCGCTCTGATTAGGAAAAACACCTCTTGTATTTTAAACATGTGATATGCAGAATCATTTTTGATGGTGTAATATGTCAACAACATTGTGACATTTTCTGACTGTGATCAAAATCAATAAATGGATCTGAAAACCATTCTGAAACCATTCTGTAGTTTAGTGGTTCTCAACCAGGGGCCCGGGGACCGCTGGGGGCCTCGGCAAATTTCCAAGTTGGCCACAAAATGACGTCTATTATAATTAATTAATAATATTAGAATTTAATTAAACTCACTTAAAATGCTAAAGCAAGATCTTTTCCCCCCCATCAATAAGTATTGTATTTAATGTATGTGCTTTATTTGACTATATAACACACTTCCAGTTTCATACAAAAAGTTTGAAAACAAGCAAGAAAAAGGAGAGGCCTGGCTGATGAGAATTACTGCTATGGTCTCACTTCATTCATTCATTGTAGTGAATGCTAAATTCGTCAACAACACAAGGACAAAGGAATACAGGATGTTCAAAGTCCCCCACCCTGTAGAGTTTAATGATATGCCATGCGTCTTATTGACTTCCTGATAAGTAGCTTTTAATACAACTGTAAATATTTGCTCAGTGAGAT